TTCCCAATCTTATCCTTTCTCGTGTGTGCCCACACATCCCACGAAGCATCCTCATCTCCGCTACACCCATTTTGTGTACGTGTGTTGATGCTTCACCGCCCAACATTCTGTGCCATACAACATCGCGGCCTTATTGCCGTCCTATAAAATTTTCCCTTGAGCTTCAGTGGCCTACGACGGTCACACAACACGCCGGATGCACTCTTACACTTCATCCATCCAGCTCGTATTCTATGGTTGAGATCTCCATCTAATTCTCCGTTCTCTTGCAAGATAGATCCTAGGTAGCGAAAACGGTCGCTTTTTGTGATCTTCGCTAGATTGCTCCGGTCATTAGTGTGGATACGTATATAAATGGATAGAGATAGGAAAGCAAACACAAGATGTACGTGGTTCACCCAGATTGGCTACGTCCACGGAATAGAAGAGTTCTCATTAATTGTGAAGGGTTTACACAAGTACATAGGTTCAAGCTCTCCTTTAGTGAGTACAAGTGAATGATTTAGTACAAATGACATTAGGAAATATTGTGGGAGAATGATCTCTCGTAATCACGAAACTTCTAAGTATCGGAGTGTGGTGTCGTCTTGACTTGCCTTATCTGTCTCATAGGTAGATGTGGCATCTTCTCTGGAAGTACTCTTCCTCCATCCAGGGGTGGTATCTTTAACTGGTGGAGATGCACAAGGTAATGTATCAATTTCACTTGAAGCTTACTTGTAGTTTCAGGCTTGGTCAAGCGCGATACAAACCATGTAGTAGGAGTCCCCCAAGTCGCCGAGCTAGGGGGTCTGCTGAAAGAGGTGACAGACAAGGTAAGCAATCAGAGCTCCGACTGATTGTTCACCTTCTCCTCATCTTGCAGCAGCATGAAGGATAAAGAGAAGAAAAATGAGAAGAGATGATATGAGATACTTTTGCTTTTGAAGAAGTAACTTTCCACAGGCTTATTCTTGAACTGAGCTGGAGGGTTGTCTGGTTTCCTCCAGAGTATAAGGCCGACTGAAGAATTTGAGGGTCAAAACAAGTCCATCAAATCTAGAGTACGTTCCACCCTGCTGATATGGGATACTTTTGCTTTTGACAGAGTAATGGATGTATCGGCACGTGTGCTGTTACGCTTGTCTCCACATGCTTCCTTGTATCCTTCGCACTTGCCCTATCTGTTCCTCAAGCAGATGCGGAATCTTCCTTGGAAACATAAGATGTTGAAGATGAGTACTCGAGAGCAATGCCAGGTAAGTAATCAGGTAAGGGGTTCCAAGCAGTCAGTTCCTGGCTGGAAGCTTGATTCCAAGTGCTGACTGATTGCTCTCTTTCTCCTTGTCTTGCAGGTAAAAACAAGGCCAAAGGAAAAGACAGGGAAAAAAAGCATGATATGGGATACTCTTGCTTTTAACCCTGATGATATGAGATATTCTTGCTCTAGTATAGCTTGTTTGCAGAGGTATTATCGGGGGGAAAGAAAGCTGAATATTTCGAAAGGCTTCGTTGGGAGTGCCCTCTCAGATATGATGAAGGGTTGAGCATTTTTGCAGGTCTGCCTGTCCGTTGGGGATGAAGGTCGACATATATAGGAGTCTCCCTAACAACAAGTAGTAATGCTATTCCTTTACCCTGCTTGGTCATAGCACAGTAGTGGGAGCTGCCAGTTTCACATGTTTTAACTCTGTCAGAGCACTTTTGAAAAAGTGGTCTGTGGTATCTGGCTCTCGAGATTCGGAGAACGATGCCTCTTCGATTTTTGAGAAAGCAATCATGCTGGGGGTCTGGCTCTCGAGATTCGGAGAGCAGTGTCTCTTCGATTTTTGAGGAAGTAATCATGTTGGGAGTCTGGCTCTCGAGATTCGGAAGGCGGTGGTGCCTCTTCGATTTTGGAGCAAGCAATCTTGTTGGGAGTGTTGTCTCGAATGTGAGTAAAGGTTGGGCATGTTTGCTAGTCTACCTTGCCACGAAGCACAAAGGTTGACACACAGGGACTTTCCAATTATCCAGCAATGGTACTGTTCCTTTACCCTCTCTTCGATTTTGAGAAAGTAGTCATGTTGGGAGTCTGGCTCTCGAGATTCGGAGGACGGTGCCTCTTCGATTTTGGAGCAAGCAATCTTGTTGGGAGTGTTTTCTCGAATGTGAGTAAAGGTTGGGCATGTTTGCTAGTCTACCTTGCCACGAAGCACAGAGGTTGACACACAGGGACTTTCCAATTATCCAGCAATGGTACTGTTCCTTTACCCTTGTGGGTAATAATATGGTAGCTAGACCTTCAAAATTTATGTGTCTAAACTTTGTTAGTGCTGTTCTCTTTTGCTATTCTTTTACCTTTCTTAGTCAGAGCGATGTAGTGGGAGCTGCAAGCTTCACGTGCTCAACTTTGGCAGAGAACTTTGGCAAAGTTATCTGTGGTACCCATGAGCTATTGTTGCGTGTGGGAAGTGGGTGATTGAACAGTAAGATTCATGTGCTTTCTACTTCACCAGAAGTCTTCGACAGAATGCCCATAATTTTCTGCAAAGCTGAGTGTGCGTGTGACAGGTGCTGACAAGGCTAGAAAAGTAGGTGCCTCTTCGATTTCTGAGATCGGCCCTCTTGGTCTCTGAGCAGCCCAGCTTTTGAGAAAGCGAGCGTCTCTTCGATTGATTCGGAGAACGATGCCTCATCGATTTTTGATAAAGCAATCATGCTGGGGGTCTGGCTCTCGAGATTCGGGGAGCAGTGTCTCTTCGATTTTTGAGAAAGTAATCATGTTGGGAGTCTGGCTCTCGAGATTCGGAGGACGGTGCCTCTTCGATTTTGGAGCAAGCAATCTTGTTGGGAGTGTTTTCTCGAATGTGAGTAAAGGTTGGGCATGTTTGCTAGTCTACCTTGCCACGAAGCACAGAGGTTGACACACAGGGACTTTCCAATTATCCAGCAATGGTACTGTTCCTTTACCCTCTCTTCGATTTTTAAGAAAGTAGTCATGTTGGGAGTCTGGCTCTCGAGATTCGGAGGACGGTGCCTCTTCGATTTTGGAGCAAGCAATCTTATTGGGAGTGTTTTCTCGAATGTGAGTAAAGGTTGGGCATGTTTGCTAGTCTACCTTGCCACGAAGCACAGAGGTTGACACGCAGGGACTTTCCAATTATCCAGCAATGGTACTGTTCTTTTACCCTTGTGGGTAATAATATGGTAGCTAGACCTTCAAAATTTATGGCTCTAAACTTTGTTAGTGCTGTTTCTTTGCTATTCTTTTACCCTTCTTGGTCAGAGCGATGTAGTGGGAGCTGCAAACTTCACGTGCTCAACTTTGGCAGAGAACTTTGGCAAAGTTATCTGTGGTACCCATGAGCTATTGTTGCGTGTGGGAAGTGGGTGATTGAACAGTAAGATTCATGTGTTTTCTACTTCCCCAGAAGTCTTCGACAGAATGCCCATAATTTCCGCAAAGCTGAGTGTGCGTGTGACAGGTGCTGACAAGGCTGGAAAAGTAGGTGCCTCTTCGATTTCTGAGATCAGCCCTCGTGGTCTCTGGGGAGCCCAGCTTTTGAGAAAGCGAGCGCCTCTTCGATTTCTGAGATCGGCCTTCGTGGTCTTTAAGCAGCCCAACTTTTGAGAAAGCAAACGCCTCTTCGATTTCTGAGATCAACCCTCGTGATCTCTAAGCAGCCCAGCTTTTGAGAAAGCAAACGCCTCTTCGATTTCTGAGCAGGCGCCTCTTCGATTTGAAGCTGAAGCTCCGTCGAGTGCAGATTTTTATAGGGCTGGCATTAAGTTCCAAAGCACACTTGAATCTCCACCAGTAGAAGCTTCATTCTTGCACTTCTAAGATCTTGATTTGTCCGACCTCTTCTCTCTTCAACACCTTTGAAAATGTCTGGCCCCTCCGACCGTCGTTTTGACTTGAACCTTGTTGAAGAGGCAGCCCCGCCTTCTCCAGACAACATATGGCGCCCATCCTTCGTCTCCCCTACTGGTCCTCTTAGCGTTGGGGATTCCGTGATAAAGAATGATATGACCGCTGCGGTGGTGGCCAGGAACCTTCTCACTCCCAAAGATAACAGACTACTTTCCAAACGGTCTGATGAGTTAGCTGTTAAGGATTCGCTGGCTCTCAGTGTTCAGTGTGCAGGTTCTGTGTCTAATATGGCCCAACGCCTATTTGCTCGAACCCGCCAAGTTGAATCATTGGCGGCTGAAGTGATGAGTCTCAAACAGGAGATTAGAGGGCTCAAGCATGAGAATAAACAGTTGCACGGCTCGCACATGACTATGCTACAAACATGAAGAGGAAGCTTGACCAGATGAAGGAAACTGATGGTCAGGTTTTACTTGATCATTAGAGATTTGTGGGTTTGTTCCAAAGGCATTTATTGCCTTCGTCTTCTGGGGCTGTACCGCATAATGAAGCTCCAAATGATCAACCTCTGATACCTCCTCCTTCTAGGGTTCTGTCCAGTACTGAGGCTCCAAATGATCCCCCTCTGGTGCCTTCTCTTTCTGGGGCTCTACCGACTGCTGAGACTTCTCCTAAGCAACCTTTGTGAAGGCTCCCTCTTGTGTGTTATTTTGACTCATGTATATGTACATATTTGTAGCTTATCGGGGATATCAATAAATAAGTTTTCCTTTATTTCAACGTATTGTGTTAAATACACCAAAGCCTTCTTCGCTAAGTTCTTTGAATTTTCTTTTGTTGAAGCTTGTATGTTGAAGCTTTCTGAGTGGAGCATGTAGGTTGGGGTAGTGTTCCCTTAATTTCCTGAGTGAGGAAAACTTCTCGGTTGGAGACTTGGAAAATCCAAGTCACTGAGTGGGATCGGCTATATGAATCTTAGTAGGTAGGGAGATCTAAATGAGATAAAATGAAATTCGTTCACAACAGTTCGTTTCGTTCTTTAGAAATGTTGAGGTTCTTATCTTTCCCTAACGGTGGGAAGAGTCTCTTTAAAATGACACTCCGCAACATTTCTAAATTTTCCCTAACGTTCAATCATTCAATACGTATGGGTTGCGACGAAGGATGTGGAAAAAATAATATAGTTTGTATAGTACACAAAATGAAAACAATTTTTAAAAAAAGTATAATTCCATTCCGTGTAAATTTTCCACGCCTTTCCCAATGCCCTCACATCTATCTCTAACAAATAACAAATAAAAAAAAACAAAAAAGTTATCTTTTCTAGGCAGCGCATAACAAGGGGATATCATCATATCAGAGCTGGATTGGCTACTCGAGAACGAATCACTTGCTATGTGTTTCTTTTTTACCTCGGTGAATGAACGCTTGTCACATGCAGTGACAAGATTGGCAATCTATATAGAGTCTCTCTTGTTGCCTAAGAGCAATGCAAATGAAATTCAAGACACAAACGGACATCAAAATCCAGCCCAAGAAACTATGAAAACCAATGAATACGGGGACCAGTAATCACGATGCTTCAAACTTCATTCACCTGGAATGGAAAGGAATTTATATGGCATTAGACACTAGCTTTACAACTGTGTATTTTGATAAAGAAATATATCAAACTAGTTGACAATGATCATCGCCGTGTATGTGCACTACTAGAAAGGCATGCATCTAAAACAATATTGAGATCAGCTCAACACATTATTTACTTCCATAATGCTACTTCCATCCCCCTGAATATTTCCTACCCTTCGGTGGAAAGATCCTTTCACCTTGTAGAAGAACTCACCCAATATTTGGAGAACAGAGAAAATCTGAAGGGAGTTGAGCATGAGTATGAAACCACCAATCGATTGGGAAAATAAAAACGTAAGAAAGCCAGCTACTCCATCTTTAATGCCTGCTTCAATTGTGAAAATGCTGAGGGATGCATGCAACCAATCGCCTTATTAAAAGATTCTCCATGAAGGGTAGCACATGTTTGGAGATTTTCCCTCACTGAAGCCTCTAGAGACATTTGGTTGATAGGGTCTGAAACCTTGAGCTGCAGTGGGATATAACTTCTTCATCAGGAAATAGTACCCCACATGGACATGGATTCATATAACCTTGGACTACAGAAATACAAGTAATATCAAAGAGGACCAAAAAGGAGAAAGGAGTAGTTTACCTGTCTTCTTCTGAATTCTTTACTCAGAATGGTACCCTTGCTAAGGGACCCGCTCGAGCTTATGTTATCACCACTGTTGTCCATTAGGAAAAATTAAATAGTAAAATAGTTCTCAGACATGAGCAAGCACATCAAAGTAGAATCATAAGGGATCTAACCTCGATTCCTCTGTTAAGTCATCGTTCCCACCCAAAATTACAGTCGTACACACACTGCATGTGTAAATAAGCATCATTTCACAATGTAGAAAGATCATCAATAATCACTGATTATTAATCAGGAAGCAGATGATTGACCAAATTCATAGTGAAGCTCATACCTTAGGATCTGATCAAGTTTGTTGAGGACTTGAGGAAGTCTTAATGTCAGAATTATTGAAAGGGCTAGGCCATATGTCTTCCTTTGGATGGAAGATACGTTGTCTACCTGTGACCAAATAATTTATTTGGTAAGCACACCAGAAAGGCAATAAGAAACGAACTTACAGAAAATCCAACTCATTCCCACTATCCATTTTCCATAAGAACATATTTCATTGTTCACTTCAACAAGTATGAGCAGAAATTTTTTTCTCTATTTACTATGTGTGTATGGCACTACAAGCAAAAATGATGAAACTTGTACTCCTGTGCATTATATCCGTATGTGTAAGCAGTATGTTTACACATTATATTCGGTTCAACAAGTACAATATTCAATACTGTGGATCATGTTGCACATTATAACTCTTATTAGGGTTGTCTTGGCACTATATAACTCCAGTGTACTCTACTTTAACAAAAATGCGTTAATATGAATCATAATACTTTATAATATTGTAACAATATTCAGAAAAATATATAAAATTAATGGCCCATTTTCCTGCAGCCAATATTTACTTCAGATTACAGCATACCATATCTGTTTGAAATTTACACAACCACTTTCCAAGCAAAGCCTCATTCCTCTTCCCCGAAAATATGACTAACATTTTTAATGTATATAAATTCTTCTTTTTTTTTTTAAAATTTTTAAAATTTTATTTTATACAAGGAAAACAAAAATTTATTGCTAGTACAGGATGCCACAAAGTTAAAACAAAAAGCAATCAGCAAAACAACAAAATGGTCACCCGAAAAAGAAGTATCTATGGAAACTCCACACTAACAGTAACTTTACAATTAAGCGACATAACTGGTGAAACTGTATATGCATAAACTAGTGAGTAAAACAATGCACTGTCCTATTTCACCTATGGGGCTGCCTTGGGGTTAAAAGCAGGCTTATGTCAGATTTGACCTAGGAGCTTTTACTGTTAGAATTTCGACCCCCCTCCGGATCTTGATCTTTGATGTATTCGGCAATAGAATAAATGTAGCAAAAATAGAGAATAACTAAAAAGTTAGAAACACACAAGATTTATACTGGTTTGGCAGAACTTTTGCCTATGTCCAGTTGTGATTTCTCTGGGCAGAGAAACCATGGCTTCTGAGGGTGCGGCTTACATTCCTATTTACTGATTAACGCACCTAATCTATTTGGGATATGAAAACACATCTGCATTCCTATTTCGTTTATGCTTTTAGGATTCCAAATCTAATTGTACAAGAAAACTTAATTCTTTCCTAATCCTTCTAGGACAAGAATATGTGCACCTTTGGCTTTCCTAATACAATCCAAACAAAACAGGACTTTAACAAAGGACAAACCAAATCCTAACATTTACTTGTCTGCAAACACAAAGTTTCTTGCAATTTCTTGTTGAAGTTGTATAGGATATTTTTTTAAGAAGGGCTCTTGGACCTATTTAGTAAGTACATTGGCTTTTTTAAGCAATATTTTATTTAAAGACTATTATAACCCAATTTTCAACACAACCTGACCTGTTTTTATTGGGAAGGGTTGGCTCAGCTCATGTTTTCTTTTAGTGAGGGTTGGGTTGTAAAAAAATTTAATCCTTTTCGGTTGGGACACCCTCCTATGCATGTATACACACAAATTGATAAAACATCTAAATTCAGCATCTGAAAACATACACATATGTATTGGTCTGATAATATAAGAGAAGACAGGGAAAACTGAACAATCCTGAGAAGTATCCTTGCAATGGAGATGCATGTTGTACTGTACTAACCTTGTCAAGCCATACGTCAACAAGACAAAGAAGTACATTTTCCTCAGTTGGGACACCTGACTTCGGAAGGAACGACAAAAGTGATGGTTCTGATGTTAAACGGGCTAGGTAATTGGTACTCATAACCAAAACTCTTGCCAGGATGGCAGCTGCAGATGCTTTAACAGCTGTCTTAGGAGGATCTTGGTCGTCGCCTCCACTCAAACATACAACAATTAATTTCTAACAACATTGAACAGAAAAGAATTTCAGCTTTAGACACGCTCCAAAAGGCATCATATGATAAACTTTTTTTAAGGACAAAAACATGAAATACTATAAAGTAAGAATATCAAGGAGCTAAAAAGAAAGAACCACACTTGTAATGTACTGCTGATCAACTGGGGCACTTCTATAGGGAAACACTGCAAAGCAACATAAGATAGTGAAGTCCATGATGGTTCTAAAAAGAATAGTCACTAGAAGCATGCTTCAATAACATAATAACTAGATATTCTGTATAGAATGCTTTGGCAGTTCCATCTTTACTACAAAGCTTATAGTAATTTCACAACACCTTAGTTGATTGTCTAAATGGCCTGCTAATCAACTGTCTACTCTCACTTGCAAGTTTTAATCAGTTACCTGTACTAGAATATCAATGACAGGAAGAACTGAAAGTAGTCCTCTATCATTCACATTTCCAACAACCAGATCTAGAATTTGAGCAACACTTGAAGCATGCATACTAAGAAATTCGGATCCACCTAAGATAATGTAGTCTTCAGTTATATCGACTGCAACCTGCCAATAATTTTGAGTCGAAATATTACAACGGACAAACATAACAATGCATGAGCACCAAACTACCTTTAACGATAATAAATGCTAAAAAAGTGGGGTCCTAACAGAAATATTTGTAGGGAAAATTTCTGAAAAAAAAAAAAAACAGTGCCAAGATAATAGAGGCAATGCCTACAAATTGAAATCTCTAAACTAATTGAGATTTGAGAAAGTTTCCCAAAATGTGCAACTAAAAACAGACAGCTTCTCAAAACAGGACTCGGCGTATAGATGAGATCAGAAATTGAACTGGGTTCCTACAAGTAAATTTTACAACAGCAGTATATCTTATAATTCCTTGTCCATTTTCCACCCTCAGAAGTTTGGTAGATTCAGTTTGAATATCATTTAGCAAAACAAGCTACGAATAATATGGGTGTGAGCATTCGATAAATGGAGAACAGCAGTCAATACCATCATTAGAGTCATATAAAAGTCATCTTAAATCAACTTTAACTCACTGCAAGAAAAAAAAAATCAGGGATACATCTTTTCAATTCAGAAATATAACAATATTAACTATTAGACTTTTATTAGGGAAACGACGTCAAATTTCTTGTCATAAGAATACACATTAAACCTTGTTTTGCCTTATATTTCAAACAACCGTTTAACCAACTTCTGTTGTAATTTTCCCAAGGGTGTTTTTGTTTTCAAATATTTATTCCTTAAATCCCAATTCATGAAAAATTCAAGAGTGGAGTATATCCATTTCAAGCACAGAAGCTTCACTAAAATCTGATGATACCATATTTCTTTCATCAAGGAATTCTTGATATGTTGATAATGCACGATGTAAATCCGTATCCATATGTTGAAAGCAATGTGAATGGCTATTACTATAACTGTGTAATGCACTCTATCCTACGCTATATTAAGCATCCATTCATTGGCAGATTGTGAGTAAAATTTGAAGGGTCAAATAACAAAAAAGAAGTTCCAGAATAAAAGAAAAAAACCAAAAAATATAACAGACAGGCCATGCAGAGTCAAGATTTCTTACCTGCAGGTGATCGAAACTTCTTTCCATGATTTTTACAAGATAGGGAAAATATGCAAGTAGTTGAGGCACCATAGTAGGAGCATGAGAAAGTGTGGCCTCCCATAACTGCACAATTAAGCTAACTGCATTTAGCATATTAAATAAAAGGATGATGCCAGCTGGTAAAGTAATAAGACAAACTTAATAGGGCAAACCAGCATGCTGTCCTCAAGAAGATTGAGCTCATCAGGGCTATTTATATCAATTCCCTTTTGCAGAATGGGCAGTAATATATCGTAGCAAATGGGTGACTGATAGCCAAGTGCAACTACAAAGTTCCTCAAAGCAACAAGAAGTTGAATCTGCAGAAGGCATTCACTGGAAGATTCCTCCCAAGCCTTTGCAAAGAAACAAAAGAAACAATATCAAATGAGACTGAGGATCGAAGCACTCTGCAGCCATCTGTTGTGTACCTCAAAACAATGAAGTTGCTCAACCTAACTCAACATTGCATACGTTTGCAAAATCCATTTCAAAAATCATTCTGTCCTAGTACATTAGGTATTGTGACATTTAGAACAGTAGGAGAACAAATAGCACTGAAGAATAAAGAAATGTTCTCCTACCTTCTGGAAAAATAGAACCAGCTTGTTTGCAAATGTCATAACTTCACTCATATGTCCAATAAGAACAGAAATCATGTTCAAAACCTGAACCTGAAAATAAATGAAAGTGAACAGGGACTTTGGTTAAGCCAAGAGCAATCTGTTAAAAGGCATACTTAAATTTCTTATCAGAAATTATCAAGATTTTCCTGGTGAATTCAGACCTGTTAACAAAACAGGACACTGTACACGACTGAATGCAAGAACTAATGCACATGTACTTCAAAATAACAGAAATTTAACAGTATAAGAACACCCAATCCTATCCTTTTGTTAGGAATTGGCTTGTCTATGTTAGCGACCTAATTTGTTTAGGATTGATTTCCCTGCAACCAGAAAGGGATCGACTTGGTCAGATGGGTGCGTGCGCTTTGGATAGGACCAGGCTAACTTATATGCTTACACTATCACTATGGCTCACGAGGAGGCCCTGGTCCTGACTAAGGAATGGGATCCCCGTACTTTTACTATTTTCTTTCTTCTTTCATGAAAGCATTAAGATGTTATTCAGGGGGTGCATTTTTGCTCCCCACTATAAACTATGGTGTATGCTCACCATCACATTCAAAGCTTGACATCTGTCCACTAATACAACCATAGGTAAATTATAGATTTAATTCTCTATCGACGTTATGAGGAAAGAGATAAACAGACTAATATTAAAATATATATGCCAAATTAGAGCTCAACCTGAAAATATGCAGAGGGTTCAGTAAACCGCACCTTATATCCATAAATAGGGTGTGGCAAGGCCGAAAAGCAGGAAAGAAAAAACAGAGACAGCCGAGAGAGGAGAGAGAGATTACTTCTAGGGTTTGGAAAAGTACTGTATGCTATATGAAGCTGTGGTTTCTCTAACCAGAGAAATCACAATTGGACGTAGGCAAAAGTTTTGCCGAACCGGTATAAATCTTGTGTGTTTCTAGTTATACCCTAATTTTTATAAGTATAGTCTATTGCCGGATACATCAAAGAGCAAGACCCAGTAGAGGAGAGTCACAATTATAACACCTTTTAGCACGATACACATGTTTAGTGTGAATATAGAAACAGAAAACTTCCACTGTAAGTTTTCTAATTGTATTGACTTAACAAAATAATTGTACACTGAGGATATATATATAGCCTTTGGCTATTTACAACAATACCCCTTAACTGCCTAACCTTATAACAACCCTAACTAATTACAATCATTGGCACAGCTAATCACATTTAGTTGAATCGACTTTTAGACAGGGACTTGGTGTGGAGATCAGCCAATTGGTCTTCACTGCACACGAACTGTACTTTAAGAAGATTAGCGAGAACCAATTCTCGAATATATTGGTAGTTGATCTCAACATGCTTAGTGCGAGCATGAAAGACAGGATTAGATGCTAGGGAGATTGCGGAGATGTTGTCACACCAAAGTTTAGGTGTAGGTAGAGGGAAGTGAAGATCTCTAAAAATTTTGCAAACCCAAGTGAGTTCTGCAGCTGTGTGAGCTAAGGAGCGATATTCAGCTTTTGTAGAGGACCGAGCCACTGTACTTTGTTTCTTGGCACTCCAACTAATGAGATTGGAGCCTAAGAACACACAGTAACCACTTGTAGAACGTCTATCAAACGTACAGCCGGCCCAATCAGCATCAGAGTAGGTTGAAAGATGGACAGGACCCTTTGTGAACCACAGACCATGGGAAAGAGAACCTTTAAGAAACCAGAGAACTCTTTTAGCTGCCTGAAGATGTTGTTCCCTAGGAGCATGCATGAATTGGCAGATCTGGTTCATAGCAAAAGCAAGGTCCGGTCTAGTCCTAGTTAGGTATTGTAAAACCGCCTACAATAGAAACGATATTCAGTGGGATTGGACAAGAGAGGCCCACTATGATCAAGTTTCACGGAACTAAGAGGTGTGCAGCAGCACGGTTTTGCACCCTCCATGTTTGTTTTCTTGAGAAGATCAAGTAAGTATTTGGTTTTGATGTAGAAAAATGCCCTGTGAAGATCGGTGTTCTTCTAAGCCCAAGAAGTAGTGTAAAGGACCAAGATCCTTTACTGGAAACTGAGAACTGAGTTGTTTAATAAACTATTGACAGAGGTGAGAGTTTGGACCAGTCACAAGAATGTCATCACCATACACTAGGACAATAACCAAATGAGGACCATTGAGAACAAACAAGGATGCATCAGAGGATGATTGATGGAATCCAAGAGAATGAAGGGCTTGATAGAGTTTGTCAAACCAGGCTCGGGGGGCTTGTTTTAGTCCATATAATGATTTTCTCAACTTGCAAACATGACTAGGAGAAGTTGGATCAACAAAATCCTGGAGGTTGTTGCATGTATACATCCTCCTTCAAGTCTCCATGAAGAAAAGCATTGCTTATATCCAATTGATTAAGGAACCAATTATATTGGACAGCAAGAGTGAGGAGGATACGAATTGTAACCGGCTTTGCAACCAGACTAAAAGCCTCTTGAAAATCAATACCCTCTTGTTGATGAAAACCCTTTGCTACAAGGCGAGCTTTGTACCTATCAATAGTACCATCAGCCTTTTTTCTTAACTCGAAACACCCACTTACAGCCAACTAAATTTTGAGAATGATTAGAAGGGACTAGTGACCAAGTACCAGTAGAGATCAAGGCATTGTATTCATCTTGCATGGCTGCTCGCCAATGAGCATGCTTAGAAGCTTGCAAGTAAGTACTAGGAACATAATCAAGATCAACAGGAAGAGGATGTTTGGTTGCTGCATAAACCTGAGTCTGAACGCAGAACTTTGATTTTATTTCCAAGTAAATTTTCTACATAATATTTGAAGACAACAAATGTAGAAAATACATCGGACTTGGACTTCAAAGGAAAGAACCAGCTATATTTGCTAAAATCGTCAACAAGAAGCAAATAGTACTTGAAACCACTATTTGAAATAACAGATGCTGGACCCCACAGATCACAGTGCAAAAGTTGAAGACTTTGAGTTGTTTTTGAAGAAGCTACTCCAAAGGGAAGCTTATGATTCTTTGCAAGTGCACAATCTGAGCAGAAGAAATCAATAGTGGACTTGCCTTGTAATGCCAGTGGATGATTAGAAATTACCCTGCGGAGAATAGAGGAGGAAGGATGACCCAAGCGCCGGTGTCAAACTTTAACAGGAGCTTTAATACTGAGCAAAGCTGTATGTGAAGATTTTTTTTTTTTTTTTTTGAGAAGAAACAATAGAAATTGAAGAAGTACTTGAGGCTTGAAGAGGATAGAATCCATTTCTAACCGGTCCCCGCAAAAGCATCTTCCCCGAAATACGATCCTTGACACTGGATCCATAAGGGTCAAGGGTTAATGAACAATCATTATCCTTAAGAAACTGATAGGCAGACAAGAGATTATGTTTCATGTGTGGAACATGTAAAACATTGCGGAGCAAAAGAATTATGAGGAATATGTAAGAATGATGAACCAATATGATGAATAGAAAGTCCTTTACCATCACCAATATACACTTTGTCCTCGCCAGTATAGGGAGTAGGAGAAGAAATATTGGCAACATCATTGGTAATGTGAGAGGTGGCACCCCGAGTCAATCAACCAAGATGGAGATGGTTTGGCAGAGTGATTGACATACAGAGCAGCGAGTTTGGCTAGAGGAATCCGACCACAAATGTCTAGATTCATGCGATCAAAGCAGTCAATAGCCTCATGACTGGTAGATCCATAGATTTGACAAGGAACTTTGAAAGTGGAAGAACCTTGAGCTAGGCGAGGGCTTTGATAATTGCGATTGCCACGATTGTTGGAGTAATGACCACAGTTGGTATGGAAGTTACGATTGCCTCTATGAGAGAAGGAATTGCCCCGATTATTCTTGCCACGATTGTGAGATTTTGGTTGGTGCCATGATTGGAGTTGGTGCTGAGCAGCAAACACGGATGGAGTGGATAATAGAGGGGGTTGAGATTGCACCGAGAAAGCTTGAAAAGGCTCAGTTGCAGAAGATGAACTGACATTTTTGCGTCAAGCCATAGACAATTCCTTAGTGAGAAGAAGACCATGGAGCTCATCAAGAGATGTAGAGGACAATTGAAGCATGATTGAGTCTGTGAACGACTCAAATTCATCAGGCAAGCCATGAAGAGTGGCTGCAATGAGATCTCGATTAGAGACAGAGGCACCAACAGCTTGCAAGGAATCGGAGATCTCTTTGATTTCTTGAAGATACTCAGAGATAGAGTGAGATCCTTTTTGAACCGATTGAAGACGCGACCGCAATTGATGAATGTGAGCCTCTGAAATTCCACCAAATCTCTGTTCAAGCTTCACCCAGAGGTCATGAGAAAAGGAAACCCCAACCGTGAAAGGAATGATTTCCTCAGAAAGTGTGGAATTAAACCAGATCAAAAGATTTTGATCTTTTTCATACCATTCCTCAAATGCAGGATTGATGCTGTGATCAGGCAGGAATGGCGATGGACATGCTTCAGTTCCATCAATGATTCCAAGAAGCTTGTATCGCCTGAGGATTGGGCCAAACAATGCACGCCATGGTAGGTAGTTTGATCTTTTCAGCTTAATCGGCACCATGCTGCCGATGTTGTGAATTGTAAGAGAGGTGTAGGAACTCAAAGGACTTGGATTACCAAAGAAATTAGGGTGCGTTTGTTGCACCGGACTATCTCGAACTGGACTAGCTTCAGGGACTAAGTTGGACTGGGTTAGACTAGACTAAGCAGGACTAACTTAGTGAAGCGTTTGGTGCAGTATCGGATTAGAAGTAGGATAATAAAAATAATAAAATTAATTCTTTTTTTTTCTTTTTCTATTTCTTTTTCCTGCCTGAAACCTCTGTTCTGTCTATTTTTTTCCGTCCAAACTCCATAGATTCCAATCACAACTTTTTTTCATTTCAATTGATAAAGCGCTCCATCCAAATTCCACTACTTGCAACCACATCTTTCTCCTCCATTTGAATCGATAAAGCTCCCAAAACATAAACAATCAAAAATTCAATTTCAATCGACATCGAAATCGAAATCGCAGCTGCGTTCCTTGTATACCCAACAACGACACTC